CTTGAATCAAAGGAATAGCCAAGCAATGGCATACAAGAATCCTAATAACAAGCTCTAGATATGCATTTTCACAAGACAACGCATCAACACTCACATTTCATAGCAAAATCACATGTAGAATCCAAGAAATCATCATATAGGTAAGAAAAATAGATTTTGTAAAGCATGGGTTACCTCTTGTAGTCTAAACCTTCACTTATTACACCTCTACAACCTCCTAACAAGGCTCTCTTTCAACACCAACTTCAAGAACACACCAAAAGACGATAAAGATTTCATCTTTAGAAAAAGACACCTTAGAAAGTACTAAAAACACAAAAGGACCATAAATCTTACCCTCCTAGATGCTCAAGAGTAGGAAAGGTGGAATCTTGGAGACAAACTTAGAAGATCTTGGAATGCCCAAACTTGGCTTGAAGAAGAAGCTAGCTAAATTCTAGAGAGAAGGAGGAGCTTTTGTTTTGAGCGTGTTAGGAAAAGAATGAAAGATGTCTCTAGGTTAGCTTGGGATACAATCCTTGGGTGAAAAGTCTTCTTTACCCTTACTAAAATGAAAAGGTGTAAGAGGACAAGGGAACTATTCATGAAGCATAGGGTACAACCCATTGACTTAGTTTGACTAGTCAATTACTAGTCCTTGACTATTGAATTTTTAGGATTTTTAGGAATAAATTACCAATTAGATTATGATTAATTACTTAATTAATCCCTAAATAGAATTTGGATTTACGGGGTGTCACATTCCAAAACACCAAAATTTGGGGAAAAGAAAGCTTCTAGGGTTGGTGGAAGATGATCCTTTTATAGCAGCAACCCAATGGAATTATTTTAGGAAGGTTCCAAATTTCAGCTTTCGGCGATCTTGACGCGTCGAGAATTTGCTCGACGCGTCGAGCCTCTAATCTGGGCGACTCTAGAAGCTACTGGAAATTTTCGACGCGTCGAGAGGCTGGCTCGACACGTCAAGGCTTTGATGCTCCGACTTCTTTGTCTTTTGAACCCTTCGTGCTTGAAATTCTTCCCTTGCTTTTACATTTAACCTGTAATGGTGAAAAAACACTACCAAACACCGTAAGTTATTCAAAACAAGTGTAAACCCATATTCTAACGAGAAAACAAGTATTAAATAGGCACGATTAGGCAACTTTGCTACTGAGATGAATCAGAAAAGCTATAAAAACATGCACAGATGTGATAACATCAACTATATAGTTAATTTTTGGACACAATATGTCATTGCTAGTGCACTCGAAATATATTCCAGTACTAGAAAATAATTATAATGCACTGGAAATCAAAATTAGAATGACTATAAAGCACATTAAATTTATAGAAAAACATGAAACTAAGGAAAATACTGAATATTGTAAATGAGTTAATACCTAAAATCGTCCTCGACTATAGTGATTTTTCTCAATTTTGTCCTAAACGACTTTGGTGACCTAATATCGTCCCAGACTTTTGTGTTTCGCTCAATATAGTCCCAGACTTTTGTGTTTTTGCTCAATTTAGTCCCTCATTGGTTATTCTGTCCATTTGGTGTTAAATAAATAGACAATTCAGTAATTTTAATATTGGTATCTCTTTACTCATAGACATGTGAATTGCGAAATCTTTTTTTTTTTTTTTTACGAATTACTCCCAGAATTACTCCTAAAATTGCGAATATAAAATTTGATTTGCAGGTCCGAGAGTAATTCTGGGTGTAATTCGTTCAAGAAAGAGGAATTTCGCACTTCACAAGTTGAAAGTAAAGAGAGATCAATATTGACATTACTGAATTGTCCCTTTATTTAACACCAATTTGACGAAATAACAAATGGAGGACTAAATTGAGCGAAACACAAAAGTCTGGGACGATATTAGGTCACCAAAGTCGTTTAGGACGAAATTGAGAAAAACCACTATAGTCGAGGACGATTTTGGGTATTAACTCATTGTAAATATAACTCAAGTTAGATATAATTGTGAGGTAAAGAACAATTGCCACAAACAACAAAAGTGCAATGTAGAAAACAAACTATAAAGAAATCAAATAAAATATTTAAGGTTAGGTACCAGTAAGAATGAGAATTGAACGGCGGAGCAGGCATCATCATCATCATCCATCATCATCATCATCATCATCATCATCATCCATCATCATCATCATCATCATCATCCATCATCATCATCATCATCATCATCATCATCATTCATCATTCATCATCATCATCATCATCATCATCATCATCATCATCCATCATCATCATCATCATCATCATCATCATTCATTCATCATCATTTCATTCATCAATCATCATATCATCATCATCATCATCATCATCAATCATCATCATCATCATCATCATCATCATCATCATCATCATCATCATCATCATCATCATCATCATCATCATCATCATCATCATCATCATCATCATCATCATCATCATCATCATCATCATCATCATCATCATCATCATCATCATCATCATCATCATCATCATCATCATCATCATCATCATCATCATCATCATCATCATCATCATCATCATCATCATCATCATCATCATCATTCATCATCATCATCATTCATCATCATCATCATCATCATCATCATCATCATCATCATCATCATCATCATCATCATCATCATCATCATCATCATCATCATCATCATCATCATCATCATCATCATCATCATCATCATCATCATCATCATCATCATCATCATATCATCATCATCATCATCATCATCATCATCATCATCATCATCATCATCATCATCATCATCATCATCATCATCATCATCATCATCATCATCATTCATCATCATCATCATCATCATCATCATCATCATCATCATCATCATCATCATATCATCATCATCATCATCATCATCATCATCATCTCATCTCTTTATCATTCATCATCATCATATCATCATTATCATCATCATCATCATCATCATCATCATCATATCATCATCATCATCATCATCATCATTCATCATATCATCATCATCATCATCATCATTATTATTATTATTATTATTATTTATTAAAGAAAATTATATAGCATTCGGTTCGGTTCGGTTTTTGCCAAACCGTTCGATTTTGGTTCGGTTCGATACTAAACCGTTCGGGTTACAAAATCCCGAACCGTTTGGTTTTCTATTACTAGTTCGGTTCGGTTCGGATAAACCGGACCGAAGTGCCCACCCCTAGTTCCAATCAATGGTTGAAAACTCCTAATACTAGTTAGAGGAAAACATCGTCGTCCATCAATTTTCTAAAGAATAAAAACCATAGAGATTTTGATAAATTTGTGGTGGACTCCATTTTTATAGAGGTGAGGAAGAAGAAGTGAAAGAGGGGAGAGAATGATGATCTTGAAATCTCATATGCGTAGACTGTAGAGGTGAGAAACAGAGAAAGCAAAAGTACAGATTGCCTGGGTTGTTTGTTTTAATAAAAGTACAAATGCGTTATTTCATTTAATAAAAGTACAAGTGGTTGAGTATAAAGTGATAGAATGGTCAAATCAGCACATGGCATGTTAGGGGAAAAATAGGAAAACTTGTATTCTTTTTATTGCTCCGTAAAAATCCGTGTAAAAGCAAAGTAGGACACTTAATTCGGGACCGAGGGAGTATAATATAATAATAATAATTAGAGCTCAACAAAAATATAGTGGATAAAAATTGGCTTGGTCTAAATATGAGCTATTTACCACATAGGAGGGAAGCCCAACCCAACAAACTCCCCCTCCCAACTATGTGGAAGATGTCGCCGTCCGTGATAGAGAAACAAACCACTGCTTCCCCTGCATAGGTAATCTGATAGCTTGAAATAGATTTCCTTATATCAATGTTTCCTTCCATATCTGAATCATTGTATCCGGTAATAATATGTTTTTCTGTACCCAAAGACAAACTCAGACTTGAAGTACCCTGAAGATATCTCAAAACCCACTTTACAGCATCCCAATGTTCTCTCCCTGGATTTGAGAGAAATTTGCAAACAACACCTACAGCATGAGCAATATCGTACCTACCATGTCAAATATGTCCAATCAACAACCAGGGCTCTGATACCACTTTGTTGGAAAAAATTCTCCCACTTCCTGTCACAATGAAAATCACAGACCCGACATGGTCCACAAATACGAGATAACACAATATCCCAAAATAAATGTTAACACAAGAGACACGTGATTTACGTGGAAAACTCCAAAACCACGGGACCACCACCAACAAAGTTTCCACTATAACAAATATTGGGTACAAAGTTTCTAGCTACCACACGAACCAAACATCCAAAGATAATCAAGTACAACAACTCTAGGCCAAAGACTTCTATAATGTTCCACAGACCTAAAAAGGATATCAACTCGTACTTAAAATATTCAACCACCACGAGCAATGAGAAAAGAATACAAATATTACGAGATTATCCAAAAGATGTCTGAAACAAACAAGCTGACCTCCAAAAGTATTTGGTGAAAAATACCACCCAAGAACCTCGGAAAACTTCACGGCAAAACCAGCAAACATGCGACAAATGATGAAACCCACCTAACACGCTGCTGCCGAACTACCAAAGGAGACAAAGAAAGAAGCAAAAGAAATTTCTGTTTCATTGCCACAAAACCGTCTGCCTCTGTGTGAACTGCTACCAAATCAATATATGTATGTGTGTCAATGTTGGAGAAGAAGTTTTTGCTCCTTTTATAGCTTCACTTGAAAATAGGAATTTATGCAGACAAATAAATGGAATTAATTTCATTTGCCTCTTCACATGCATGCCATCAAAAACGTTTGGTGCTCCAACTTCTTATATACCCTTATATTATTATATAATTATAATATAATATAATAATAATAATTAGGGCTCAACAAAAATATAGTGGATAAAAATTAGCACGGTCTAAATATGAGCTATTTACCACATAGGAGGGAAGCCCAACCCAACAAATATATATTTCCACTCTACTATACGTCTGTACTACTCATATATTGATATGATCTTCTTCTTCTTTATATGTTGTAATTAAGTATGAACAAAAGTGTAACACCCCACTTTTCTTAAACTTATTTACAGTTCTAAAACCAAAATCAAGATAAATAAGCAGCGGATTAACAAACTTAAATAACGAACTAGTGGGAATGTCACCGCCACAACCACCTCTCCACGGTGATTGCACAGGCTAAGGAAAGAACTAAGTCATTAAATCAAACTAACATTTAAATTACTTAATTTAAAGTCATAAGGGGGAAAAACACCCCGGTGTCTATCACCAAACATACATAGCATAAGTCTACAATCCATCATCAAAACATCATAACGATAAAAAAAAAAGTTTAGACTACTAGATCTACTAAGCTACTCTAACTCGATCAACTCTCAAACGCTAGGCCCACCTGAAAGGGGTGTTGCAAAACAACAAGTAGACAAATAGGAAAACACCCGTTAGCATGAAGCTAAGTATAACCACACTCAACCCTGTAAAGTACTATAGTATATACTTTGGAAATATATTTGTTTACAAACTCGAATCAAGCAATCTCAACACTTAGACAACTTTAATATAACCCACAGACTTTCTACATGCTCGCAACTTATAATATCAACAAGCATGCTTCAACAATAAATAACTCATAAACATAATCACTTCAACACATATTTCTCATAACAAAACTCATCATAACGAACTCATGCTATCAACCAATGGCATATTATCAATCAATACGAAATTATCCTCATGCTTTCAAGTTCTCATCATGCAAACTAGATATATAAGACATCAAAATGCAACTAAAGCAATCATGCTCAATATACAATCTCGGTTAATCATTCTCATTATGCAATCTAGTGCAAACATTCTCATTATGCAATCTCGTGCAATACTATACTCAAATGCAATCTCGTGCAAACATTCTCATTATGCAATCTCGTGCAATACAATAAGTATACTTATAAACTCGTTTGTAAAATAGAATACTTTTCTATGGAGGTCTCTTAGAGCCACAAGGACTCGCTTGCTTTCTTTTCTTAGAGACGCAATGACTCGCTTTCTTTCTTTTCTTAGAGTCGCAATGACTCGTTTTCTTTCTTTTCTTAGAGTCGCAATGACTCGCTTTCTTAGAGTCGCAATGACTCGCTTGCTTTCTTTACTAATGGATGAGGTAGGAACTTCACCGTAGCGTGAACGAACCTATCCTGGTACGGCTTCTAGCTGACCTATACTCAAGCTCATCCACCGAACCACTCTCTTGGTTCTAAACTGATCTCTGTGGAATCAGGTATCGAACTTTTAGCGTGCACACCCCCTAACTAGGATTCCAAGCCTGGCGGGCAGTTTCCAACCTCGTAACGTGGGAATACGCCGCGTTACATATACTTAGACCGCAACGTCCATTTCTTTCTTCCGAGATGACGTAGTCCAAACGGGTCCTCCAAAACAAGGTTTTCCTCACCATAGATATATTTAGATATACCGCTCATGCATCTCATATATGCAACATTTAACTTATGCAAAAAACATGCACATTCTTCTCAACTCATTCTCAACAGACAAGATAAAGATGCTTAACATGGAAATGAGATTTTTGGAAAATAATACTTAGGCTCACGTTGGCCACTTATGCACTTTTAAAACATGATATACTTGGAATGCAATTTACTGTAAAACATGCTTCAAATCTATATATCACAGTGATCTCTCAAGAAACACACAATCATGCTTGGTTTGCAACATATCATACTCTGTATACTTTTACAATAATAAGAAACTATAATTTCCATTGAACATAAAACACATTCTAGTCATGCTTCTCTAACAATTCTCATTCACAAAATGTTCATGCTTCTCTATTCAACTACCCAAATGTCATCAGGAAGGCAAGGGCAAGCAAAATCCCAAAATAGAGAACTCAGACAACATTTCTGTGAAGCATTCCATCACAAATTCTACTATAACATGCTCATTTCCAATCCAAATTCAACGAAATCAAAGCCCAAATATGCATCAAGACGGCCCCGAGGTACCGAGCCACAAGGGCCCGGCCACTGCACAGGGAGCAACTCGAGGACCATGGGGCGGGGCTCAGCAAGGCCCGCCCCATTAAGCCGCTAGCTTGCCGCCTCTAGGCAACGGCCCTCTCCTAGGGCTGTTCCCTAGGCTCGGCTGGCCACAGCTCTAGCCAACGGTCCCCTTGTTGGGCCGTTTGGCTGGGGCCGGTGCCTTGTCTGGTGCACACTGCCTGTGCACCAGATGATCTCTTCTCATCTGTAATTCAACCTCAGACAATTCCAACACATCCAAAATAATAACAACACATCATAGACAAGTAATAAATCACTTCTTAGCTCAAACACCTCAAAAATCTAACATTTCTACTCATTTCTACCTATGAAACAAGGCTTCACAGATCCAAAACTTAAAAGTGGGAGTCCATGGGGTTATACCTTTATTGTCTCCTCTTTCTTGTGTGGATTCCTTCTTCTTCCCAACTCAACCACTACCCCCTTCACCACCTAAACACCTCAAACAAACCAAGCAACAAAACTTAAGAATAGAATCTCAGAGATTGGAAGCAAAAAAGTGTAAGCTAGATGGAAAGGAATGGATGAATGGATGGAGATTGAGCCTAAGTAACTTACTGTGTTTCTCCTTTCTTTCTAGCAGAGCTCAAGGTTGGGGAAGACAAAAAAAAATGGAATCAGGAGAAAAGCCCGCTTACTATTCCTTTTATATGGGTTCAAAACCCTAGGATGATACTCAATGATTGGTGGAGGGTAAGGTAGTCTTTTGGTTGATTCTAAAGAAAATATCAGACAAGGGGTTGAAAGGCTTATGGTCCACCTTGCAGCATGGACCAAGTCTAGAAAGCTGATTTTAAATAGTTTGGGGCCAAAAATAGATTTTTCCAAAGATGATTTCTAAACAAACACTTGGTTCAGGTTTCTCCCGGTCTCACTCATATAGGATTTTGGAATTAAAATAAGTTCCGGTGTTGAATTAATTTAAAATGTAACTCAAAATAATTTATTCAAACACCAATTTATCTCAAAAAATTTTAATGGAGTGAAAATGACTATTTTGGAATTTCTTAAAATTGGATTTATAAAATTAAATTTTAGGTTGTCACAAAAAGACAGCTAGCAAAGAATCCAGAAGCTAAGCTAGTGTATTAGGTCAGGTCATGACTTCTTGCATCGGAATGGATTTCTTCCCCATTAATTTTATGCTTCGAACACCTCATCATGAGCCCAATGATCATCGCCATCATCATCAACCCTCCACCGCTCTCTCCCACTCTTTCCTTCCTGCACTACTCCTCCTCCTCAGAACTTCCATGGTATGTATGTATATATCATTATATTATTTCTCTCTATTACGATCACGCTCTTAGCACTTAAGCAAAAAATATAACTAGTAACAAAGGTGTTGTGACACCCCAAAAATCCACATTCAATCCATGGATTAATTGAGTAATTAATCCTATTTCATTTGAGGAATTAATTCCTAAAATCCTGATTTTTAATACTCAAGGACTAGTATTTGACTAGTCAACTTCAAAGTTATGTTGTACCTTGAGCTTTGAGGGGAGTTCCCTTGTTCCTTACACTTTCTAAATGTTAGTAAGGGTATTCTTGACCTTTCACCAAGTGTTAGTATTGTAACCTAACCTAGAAGACATCTTCATTCCACCCCTTACACTTTCTAAAACATTAGCTCTACCTTCTCTCTAGAAAGGTGAGTAGCTTTTCCTCCAAGCTAAGTTGAGACCTTGTCAAGATTCTAAGATTTGCTTCCAAGATTCAACCTTTCACCTATTTGGGCATCTAGGAAGGTAAGATCTAAGTCCATCTTGTGTTTTTGGTTCCATCTTAGATGTCTTTTTCTTAAAGGTAAGATCTTTATGATCTTTTAGTTTGATCTTGAAGTGGGTTTGGAAAGTAAGCCTTGTGGGGAGCTTGTTGAGGTGTAAAGTGAAGTCTTTTGGTCTACAAGAGGTAACCCATGCTCTACAAAACCTATTTTGCTTACCTATATGTGATTTCTTGGATTCTACTTGTGTTTTGCTATGAAATGTGAGTGTTTATGCATTTATCTTGTGAAAATGCATATCTAGAGCTTGTGTTTAGGGTTCCTTTGTGCCATTGCTTGGCATTTTCCATGATTCAAGTCATTTTGTTGTGTTGGGTGAGATTTGGCATGTTTTGGACTTGAATTTGAGTTTGAAGATAAAAATCCCCGAAGGGATTATTTTGCACAGGTATATGTACCCGCGAGCGGAACGACGGGTCGAGCTCCACCCGCGGGGAACGTAAGCCGGTAGGTGTGTACCCGCGGGCAGAACCACGGGTGGGAGCCTACCCGTGGGTCTACCCGCGGGGAACACAGTGGTGTTGTGATGGGATTTGTTCTCTGTGATTCTTTTGACTCGGTATTTGGTCTTTTGACTTCCCGATGTTCTTTTGTGGAACTATTTGAGTATCTTCTTGATGTTTCGTATGTCTAGAACTATATGGTAGGTATCCATGTAGGACTTTGGTGTCTTGAATCGTGCTAAGTGTTCAACATTGTGTTTCGTTGGACCGTGAAGTGTCTTGTGTGTTCCTCGGAACTATCTTTGGTTTCCCCGTTGATAAGCATGCTAGTTTGGTGTCTAAATGCTAGCATGTGTGTTGTTTGTACCTTCCGATTGGTTGATGATAACTTGTGTTATTCATCGTTGTTGTTGTTGGGCTGTGACCCATTCCTTGATTGAGTATGTTTCATACCTTCGTTGTAATCCGTTGATTGATTCCTGTTGAGGTGTGGTGTGTGTGGCTTTACCTGGATTGCACGATTAGTGGTATGGGACACTAGTCACCAAGGTATTGCAGCGGTCCTCGTGGTGGCCGTGACGTGATTATGGAGTTGTGGTCTGAGTGATGAGTCCACGTATTTCTTGGGAAGGCATGTTGTTGCCGTGTGTGTGTACGGTACCTTGTGTACTATGAAATTGGTGGCTTTGTTGGTGGCTTGTTGGTGGGGGACGACGGTCCCGGAGGTAAAAGGTTGGACTAAGAAGTACAGGGGTCCTGGAGGTAATGGTTGGAAAGAAGATACAAGGTTGGGGGTAGCCATAAGGTTGGAACAGGGCATAAAGCAGGCATACCAACTCGTGATGGGTGATGTCGCGAGGGCTATTGTAGCCAGTGTTGTGTGATCTTATCTTGTGACGTGTGTAGTAACAAAGGCAGGTGTGGCCTTGGCATGTGTTGCCGGTTGTGTGTGTCTTGTTCTTTCGCGTTGTACTTGTCGGGTTGTGGTCTATTGAGTGATGATAGATCGTGCCTTGACTCTTTTGCGAGTCGTGTTGTTCTTGTGGTCTTGGGATGTGTTCCCGTGTTGCTTGTGAGAGTGTTGAGTTTTATGTTGGCTTTGACTATTGGTTTTGAACTTATATATATGTATTCCGTTTCAAAATGATTTTTGTATATATACCATATCTATGTATGATACTTAACAGTACTGGTGGGTTACCAGCATTATTCGCTGACCGGGCGTCGTCCCATGTTTATCTTTGTGTTCTTACAGGTGATGTCTAGTCGAGCGCGATGTCTAGTGCCCGATAGAGTAGTACCTTTCCCTTGTTGTACGGCCTGTGAGCCAATTAGGTTGTTTTTAGACTTATGAACTCTTGGATAGATGTATACCATGCAGATTTTGGCCGTAGCGCTTGACGTGTTGTTAAGCGTGGCATAACACCCCCGTTTGGATTCTTTGTTATCCAGTTATCTTTTCTTCCGCTGTGCTAGTGTTTTGTTTTGTTATCTGCATGCGTTAAGGCTTTTCTATAGCTTGTTTTGGGGGGTTTTACAGGTGTAACTTCATACCGCCATTACAAATTCCAGGGTGCTGGACTTGGCCTTTACCGGGCTTTTGCTCGGTCGACACTCTCTGTATGTATGTATGTATGTATGTTGATGATTTGTATGTATTTATGTAGGAGTAGTGGATGGGAGTTTATTTCTTGGTGGAAGAGATCAATGAAGTGTTGTGAAGATGCATTGTCACATGGAGATGTGCAGGAAGATGTGTCAGATGAGGAAAAAGGGTTAGTGCAGGCAAGAGAGAATAATAAGAAAAAGAGACTGAACACAGAACAAGTGAAGACTTTGGAGAAGAGCTTTGAGGTGGGAAACAAGATGGAACCAGAGAGGAAAATGTAGCTGGCTAGAGATCTGGGATTGCAGCCAAGACAGATCGCGATTTAGTTCCAAAACAGGCGAGCTATGTGGAAGACTAAGCAGTTGGAAAGGGACTATGAATCCCTCAAGAGACAGTTCGATGCTGTCAAGGCTGAAAATGATGCCCTTCTTGCTCATAATCAAAAGCTTCATGCCCATTATTCTCACAATTATAATGATTTAATTATTTTAAGAATTTGGTAACTATTTTCCATTTCTATGTACATATTGACTTTAATTTGTTACCAATTAAGCTTTATTAATTTTTTTTACCAATTAATTAATATTCATATTATTTTGTGCTGAAAGTTGAAGATGAGGATTTTACTTTTATTAATAATAATATAGATTAATAGTATAGATTATTGCATAAATATAAATTAATAGCATAAATTTTTGGGCAAAATAAAGTTCAAATTCACAACCTCCCATATGAGAGAACAACTTGGTGCCACTAGACCACAAGGTTCTTGACTCAACATTTTCACTTCAATCCTATATTAATCAATATTAAGTGACAAATTCTTCAAAAATTCGAACACAATTGTAATTTTTTAGTATTTATAAGTTTTATTTAAAACAAATATCATTAATTTAACAAAGAAGAAATAAAACATAATTAATTGTACCAAGGACCTTGTGGTCCAATGATATTAAATTACTCTCTTATATGAGAGGTGATGAGTTTGAGTCTCCATAGAGGCAATTATGATCTACATTTGATTTAGTAATATTGAGGATAGGGCTTGGGGTGCGGCATGAATCACGTCCATCAAATTAAAAATACTTTGGTCCTACCCAGTCAAGAAATTATCCAACACAAAATTCAATCTTGATATTTTTGTTGTCCCAAAAAAATCCATCCTTTTTGTGAATAACAGAATGTTTTTAATTTGTATACATTAATGAAATACTCTTTTAAAAAAAAATTTCCTATTTAAAGTGTTTGATTCGGTCAATTAACGATCGGTCAACGACCTTGTGATCAAGTGACACGAAGTAGTGGCTGACATTATAACAAAATCAGTAATACTAAAAAAAAGTTAATAACTTTTAAATATTTAGATATTCCGAATTGAAATTCTAACTTAAAGCAAATATGAAGGAAAAATGAACAAATTAAAGTGAGAAAATGAAAAATTGTAAGAAAAAGAGAGTGACGTCATGCATGGAAGGGCACATGGAGGGGATCAGTTTTGAAGCTGAATAATGCAATACTAGAAACAGGGCAAGTGGAGAAGATCAGACTAAACCAATTATTAAAATTAATTTTTCTGAATACTTACTTGTTTTTCCAAAATAAAATAATTCAAATGGGATATATATATATATATATATATATATATATATATATATATATATATATATATATATATATATATATATATATATATATATATGGGCATCAGCTTCCAACTCCCAACTAACCAAGTCATATGGGATCCTATCACACTAAATATATTGTCGTTTGAAACCCAGAAACGTGTTCATTATTTTTGAATATTTTTATGTATTTACCAAGTAAAACGTTATTCTTAATCTGAAAAAAACTATAAAAATAATGTCAACTCTGTAAGTAGAGGTGAAGAAGGGTTAGGTTTGGCATTAACCATTGGTTTCAGTTTCAAAGCTGGTGTGGTTAGGTTGGTCCAGTACTCTCACTAACTTCAGGTTTAGTTTAGACCAATTCTTTTCAATTTGGTATCTTGATTGTTCATATGGAAAGATTGTACCCGAGTTTTAGTAGTATATAAGGGATAAACAGTTGAATTTATTAAAAAGGACAGGTGCAAAAAGGTACTCGTAAATTGCGCTTTTATCAAGATAGGAGGAATCTTGTGGCATAAGTTAAAAGACGCGTGTTATTTCTGAACAATTTCAATAGATATCGAAAAGTGATCTAGTTGTATAAATGTTATGTATCATTATACTTAATATTATTTAGTAAATTTATCTTAATTTGAACTGGCCCGCAGATTTAACCACGTTAACATTTTGTGTCTCATTGTATAATCTCAGTTATGACACACTGCAGTCTCATAGTAAAGTCTCATCTCACTAGAGTATTTTTTTTATAAAAAAAAAAAAAACGCGTGAGAGAGAAAAGGACAGGTAGGGCTAATGGATGGGGGTGGGGAAATGGAGAATTAAGAATCCAAAACTGCTACTATTCCTTCAATTCATTGTTGCCTCCTGTTGGGTGTTGCGTGCGCTTTTGATGGTGAAATGAGGGGATGGCTTTTGGCTAACGCTCCAGTATTGCCTTATATTAATGCATGTTCTGTGTCGGTGGGTTAGTCGCCAACTCCTAGCTTCTCATCACCTCATCCTTTATTTGTCCATCACATATCTTAACTATAATAACAGGGCGTTTGGTTGGAGGGAGGAATTATGTGGGAAAGGAATTGTAATTCCATGGGAGTTGAATTACTGGGAATAAAGTGGAAATTTAAATTCCAGTGTTTGGTTGACAGGAATAGAATTATTGGGAATTTCAATTCCAATGTTTGGTATACATGAGAATTGAAAGGGAATAAGTAGTATAAAGTCAAAAATGTCCATTATTGTTGTTAAACATTAATTTTAGGTTAAAAAAGGAAGGGGTAGTTTTGACTCATCACTATCTTTTTTTCCCAGGAATTAAAATACCAGGGAGGGATATGGGATTTTAATTCCATGAAAATGGGGGAATTGCAATTCCATGGAATTACAATTCCCTCCAACCAAACTACAGAATTTAATGGCCTTTGGAATTAGGTGGGGATTAAGTGGGAATGGAATTTAAAATCCCTCCAACCAAACGCCCTGTAAAGGTATATGATTTGGGAAGTAATTAATGTTACAATTAATGCCATAACATCCTTTATTATAAAAATAAAATTTAAAAAATAAAATAGCTATATATTATATAATCATATAAAAAATGTGTTCAATTAGAGTTTAAATTTACTCATACAAAATTTGAAATTTGCTTTCCAAATGAAATTATCTTAGTTATTATTCTTATTGTGAAAATTATAATATAGATGAAATACAATTAAGAATAAATTAATGTAATTATGTAAATTCTCTCTATAAGTTTATTTGAATATGCACATAATTAGAGATTATATTAACCATACAAAATTTTAATTTTAATTTTAATTGTAATTGTAATTTTTTTATTCTATAAAAATAATAAATACTTGACCAATAGAAGCTTAAAAATATTATTATATTAAACATTTTAAAATATTTTAATTTTTATATTTTAATTTTTATTTATAATAACATAATTTTTTTCCGTGCATCGCGCGGGTGAATTACTAGAATATATATATATATATATATATATATATATATATATATATATATATATCGGTACGAATGCTTCGCCCAGGAGCGAAATAGGAATGGATTTTGTCCGTCCACGTGTCCAAATCTAATGGATGAGAAACACTGATTTTTTAAAAAAGCGCGGTGGCATTTTCGTAAATAATTGAACATTGAAGTGCAAGTAAAATGTATTATAAGTGCATGTAAAATGTATTATAAGTGCAAGTAAAAAATTTACACTGAGCATCAATACTAAGTGCACCTATAGTTCTAAGTAGTTGCACCTATAGTTCTAAGTAGTTGCACATATAGTTATAAGTAGTTGCACCTAGGTGCATGAATGTTTGCGGGTGGTTTTCAGGGGTATTACTACCCGCTGAACTCAGATCAATGAATGTTAACAAGGCAAAATTACATGCACTTATAGGTGAAAGTAGGTGCACCTATAGTTATAAGTAGTTGCACCTATAGTTATAAGCACACCCAGGTGCATGAATGTTTGCGGGAAGTGAATGCTAACAAGGCAAAATTACATGCACTTATAGGTGAAAGTAGGTGCACTTGTAAGTGATTTTACTTGCACTTCGATGTTCAATTATTTACGAAAATGCCACCGCATTTTTTAAAACTATTAGATCTGGACACGTGTCGCGCGCTGATTCGTTCGCATATTCTTTCCTGAGCACTTATTCGCACCTGAGTGCATCCCTATATATATATATATATATATATATATATATATATATATATATATATATATATATATATATATATATATATATATAAGGGTTAAAGTGCGGGTATATATATATATATATATATATATATATATATATATATATATAGCTTCCCGGTTGTACGGTTAACTAAAAAAGACACACCTGAAGAATACAAATCACGCGCCTAAAGTTTTTAAATGTCGCATCTTAAGTTTCAAACGCACCTTAAGCATACAAATCACGCACCTTAATTAAGAAGGAAAACAACGCACCTTAAGAAGAAAAAACACACACCTAGTTAAAGCTCAATCGTTATACCGTGCACCAAGGCGCACAATGCATTATGCGCCCTGACCAAAACGACGTCGTTTTTATTGTTCATATTTTATGTGTATAATATTAAGAGTTTTATGTGTATTATGTATTATGTTAGACTATGTGTATTCTGTTATAAGTTTATGTGTATTCCGGTAAAAGTTTATGTGTATTATGTTATGAGTTTATGTGTATTATGTATTATGTTAGATTATGTGTATTATGTTATGAGATTATGTATATTATGTATTATATATTTATATTAGATTATGTGTATTCTGTTATGAGTTTATGCACATTTGAAACAGAGATATTTTTTTTTTCTGAATTTAACAGTAGAAACGGGAAACATGATTTCTAAATAAAGATGTGGTCAAAACAACGTCGTTTTGGTGTATTGTGCGCCCTGGTGCACGGTATAATTTACCGTTAAAGCTTTAGCCCGACACACCATAAATATACAAACCACGCACTTTAAACACACAAACAAATCACCTTAAAACCACAAACCACGCACCTAAAATTTTAAAATGGCGCATGATCGTACTAATTCGTACCGTAGAGATGTATGTATATGCGTATGTATAAGCATAAAGAAGAATCAACACAAGAAATAGGTGAAATTGGCTTCTTTTATTAAACTCGTTTGTTGTTGTTTGTCTCCGCATTCAGAGAAAGGGGAGAAGAGGGAGAGAGAGAGCCGAGAGATGGGGAAGGGAGGAAATGGGCCTCCCCTTTCCCAAAGGGCTCCAGGCCCTTTTAAAGGCCCACCGAGGCGGCGGGTTTGACCCATCTCGGGTTTG